TAGGGGGGAGCATTAGTTAGTATATAACATAAGGTGCAAGCCGTTGTCAGCTGTCTGTGCAAATGCTAGTGTGGCAGCCTAAGAGCTGTCGCAGTGAGGCGCGCCAGTGCTATGTGGTGGCAGGAGGCTCATCCATGGTCGGGCGCGTGGCTGTCTGGCGTAGTCCCTGCGTGCAGCCGTCCGACATAGAAGTGTGGGAAGCTGTGCAGTGGCCTGGCGACTTGAAAGCAGTGCCCACGAACTGCATAGTTTGCAGCGTTCGTGGCAAAGGCATCACGGCTCTAGCAGGAGGAGATTCCGATGGGGACGATGTCGCCGTAACACTGAACCAGGACCTCGTCGAGTTTGTGGAGCACACGGAGGCCGCGGTTGCACAGCTGGACTGGGAGCAAGCGTGCAAGCCAAAAAAGGAGTTGGAAGTGGAGGCGCGGAAGCTGTTCTCCACCACGGCAGACCGGTCGCCGACGTACTTGCAGCACATGCTCAACGTGCCGACGCCAAACGTGAGAGGGCAGGCAACGGCATTGGCGGAGAAGTGCCAGCAGGCTGTCATGGAAGCTCCCGGAGACATGAGACTTCTCATGTGCATGCTGCAAGTTGGCTTTCTCTGCCATGCGGCATACGACTGCCCGAAAAAGTTTTCCGGGAAAATGGTGCTGGCAGCAATCCGACAGGTGATGCGAGCTGCAGGAGTCGCTCCAACCACGCACCGCTCGACTTGGGCAGACGCATGGCTCTTGGCGTCTCGCGGCTTGCCAAAGGCAACTCGGAAACCCTGGGAAACGGTGAAGCTGGAAACGCTACGTGACAAGACGCAGCCCCTGGGACAGGTGTGGTTTCCGCTCTCAAAAATCGTTTTGGGGAAAGCTGCAGGACAGTGGATGCGGCCAGTGCTTCAAAATATGAAGCGGCAGTGGGAGCTGATGTGGAGGCGGGAACCTCGAACATGTGTCCTGCTGGAACTTGCATGTCTGCTTCATCACAAGCTCATCCACCGCGTACTTCCTGCCCCAGTACTTCTTAATGAAGACGGCGTCAAGATCATTAGGTGCAGAGTCGGAGCAACGCACGGAAAGCGTG